GAGGGTGAATAATTACGGGTTGGGTTTTGAGGCACTTCTCTGCCAGAGTCTGCGATGTGTATTGCTTTGAGGCGAAACACTCCCGATTTGTACGACTTGGGGAGAAACAACTAACTGTGTACGATTTGAGGTGAAATTACAAACTATCTACGACTTGAGGAGACTCAACAAACTGTGTTCGAGTGAAAATACAAACTGTGTTCGACTTGAGGAGACACAACAAACTGTGTTCGAGTGAAAATACAATCTGTGGCCGACTTGAAGTGCGAATACAAAACTGATGTTCGACTTCAGGTGAGAATACAAACTGTGATCGACTTGAGGTGTGAATACGAACTGATGATCTCTGGTCACTTTTTCGAGATAAAGAGGAAATCAGAAGTGCCGGGTGAGGGAAACAGGATATTTCCCACGCTCTGTGCTCGGCTCTGTTGGGTGGTCGCTTCAAAGACTTAAACTTTCAACAGTGAAAAAAGTAGCCGAGCACAGTTATGTTTTGCTTTTTGCTCAATAGTCAATTGTTGCCCTACTGATTTAACAATGCTCTTTGTAGTAGACATTTGGTATATAGTGCATTCTGTTAAGTGAACTGCTTGGAAACGAAAACAATCACCAATTGCATCAAGGCTTTCACGCTTGTCATGAAATTCGAGCAGTTGTACCGCTTAGCGGGGTGTCTAAGATTCCCAATTGGCTCGACAGACACGGCTGATTTGAGACCTTAACGGGAATCTTTAACATCTTATCAGGAATTCAGCATTGAAACGTAAACTTGGGCAATAACTGTATCCATTGTTTAAATGTTATTTGAACAGTATGAATAGACTTTACTAGAATCTAATTGGAAACTAAGTTAAGCTGGACGCTTCGAAAGCTGACCAAAAGATAAATACTTTTCATCAACTTACTATGTTCTCTCACTAGGAACTAGCTTATCGAGTTGCTTAAAGTTTCTTGCTACCAACGTTGTGTCTTCGTAATTTTCACTAGTGAACAATCCATGTTTCATTATTTCGTCGGGGTATTGATGCATCACTTGCAGGGCCTGTATGTGTTAATATGCTTAAGCTCAGTCATTTTTACGTTAAATTTTGTTCAGTGCTGTGAAAGAGTGATCAACCAGTTATTGTTTACCTCATCTTTTTTGTTCAATGGAAATATAATGGTTAAATGTTCGGGTTCAGGGGCGGGTTCCGGAATAGTAAAATCGCCGGAAACCTTGGGGAAAAACATTCTGAGAACAGTGGCTCGAACTGATGCATCTGGTGGAACCCAAATTCCAACGTTGCCTGATTCTTTTTTAACTGAAATATTTTCCCCAATCTGCGTGTACTGAGTTCACATCCTCGAAACTTCGTAGACATGTGTGATTTACTACTACCTTTGTCTTTTTCTTCAGTCTGTGTTTCCTGCTCTTGTTCTTCTTCAGTAATTAGCTTCTGAGCAATACTTTCCTTGGTTCCAGGAGGTTTTCTTATAGCACCGTAAATCATATTGAGAATTGTATCATCAATGTCCTCAATTTCGGTTCTTGCACTTTCTTTGAACAAAAGCATTAAAGATTCGTCGTTGTACAGCTCTTCTAGTGATTCCTCGGTAAACTCCTTTGATATGTCCGTAAAGTAGCACATTTCGTTAATGATATCTTCGTTAAATTGAACCTAAATTTTCACTGTCGTCAGTTAATCCATCTATTTTCTCATTCAATTAATACATTGTCGGAATGTTTTTCCAATTTTTTTCAAAAATTATCATTACTTACTCAAGTACTTCTGAACGCAGGAAAATATATTGAACGTTTCGCGCAATACATCGTCAAAATAATGTAAATTTAATTATGGTTTAGACAATTTAAGAAATTAACTAATTGGCTGATTGATTGACACAACTGAAACTATGTCTCTTGAAGAAGTTGACTAAGTTTAATTCATATAAATGTAAATTTCAGAATTGTCCATTACTAACCTTTTCTGTTTGGTAAATATCCAATCCTGCTTCGTCTAAAATCTCACCGAGAATTTCTTTGTACTTGTCTTTAGCAGACGGAAAAATTAAAGCAGCGCCATAATTTGGTAGATTTGTTACAATATTTGCACACTCTTTTGTTCGTCGCTCTAAAAGCTCCTTGGCCTTCTTAGTGTCTTCTTTTGCTCTAAATTTTTGCAGCTTTTACTTTAAATCCCAATGAGCACTTTCATAAACATTACGTATTTGCTATACTTACTGGCTTTCCTTTTCTTTACTTTCAGCAACTTCAAATCGCACTTTTTCTTCCTCTGCCATTTCCGTTATTTCCAAAGGCATTCTATCTGTCGGCTGGCCCGCTTGTTCGCTTTGTTCCTTTTTCAATTCATCCAATATTAACCTTGTCAGTTTCGGCGCATCGGCGCCAAACATTAAATTTATCATTTTTCCTTTCTGGACAAAAATTGAAAATTACTGATGCCGCTGAAAAATTTGTTTAAAAAACATTCCTACCGAAACAAACATCCAAGTTGGTTCACTCTTATTTCTAAATCTTTGCAGGCTTGTTATACCATCCGACTTAGCCTGAAGAACGAGAGGGTTAAAGCGATGAGGCTTAGAAATCGAGTACATCTTACCACTGCTAATAGTAACATATCACCACCGACTTCTAATTTAATTTTTTTCAGGTTTGCCTGCATACCTAAACATGGTCCGCACCATTCAGAATACACATCCACAACTGAAAACTCATTTTCAATTAAAATCGTTGCTGCTATAACAATAATTTAACCGGGTAAACTTGGGTAGTTACAGGCAAGTAACTACCCAAGCTAGTCGCCAAACCCTTTCAGTGCCCTTTAAATACGTTCAAATTTAATTTAACTGAGGAATCTTCCATTTCGATAACAATGTTTATTTATTAGTTTTTAAGCATCTGATAATTTGGTCAGGACTTTGCAGGGTTGAAAAAAGGAGAGAATCTCCTTCTTAGCTGTTCCTGCCCTAGCTTTTTCAGACTGCTCGCCGTACTGATAGGGCCGACCAGTAAAGTTCTTTATTTTATTTTAATTGTTTCTGTTTTTATTTTAATTTTAACTTTAGTCTGTTTTCTTATACAAGTTTGTCAAATACAATTTTAACCATTTTAGACCGTCTTAAACATTTTTTGACCATTGCTTGGCATGTTTTGTTCGGTGCTCGTTTCCTTTTGCTTGGTTTTGTCTGCATAATATTCTCCAGGGTATTTACCGTTACTTGTAGCGGCCCTGATGATAACGTAATTGTCGAAAGAGCTTGGCCTTAATTAATAATTACATACACACTTTCTTACAAAAAAACTTGTTTTATTGAATTTTTCCCAGTGTGTACACATAAACTTCTTCTAGTACAAATACTGTACTTATAAATCCATTTAAAAATTAAATTTGTGCTTAAAAATATTTCTGCTCTGATAGGTAGGATATATTAAACATGAAGGCAGTTGAAATGAACGATTGCTTAAATTACCAAGATGTATTTTATTAGTAGTAATAAGGTAATAATTAAGTTCTTAATGCAAATGAACCTCTGGCACTAAAATCAATGTAAAAATATCTATATTATAGCTACATTTGAAGAAAACGGTTAATGTATAAGGAAATAATTATTCTACTTTAATGAAGTTTATATGTATGGTTTTTTGTTGTGTATAATTGGTTCAACTTTATTTCTAACAGCTTAAAGGCATATTACGTTATTTTAAAACATTTTTCTGTTGAAGCCTTTGGAAAACGCATAATAATTTAGAGCAATCACTATCTTCAACCTTAGGCAAATTAGATTAAGCAAGTTAAGATTATAAGCAAAGAAAGGGCTCAATAAAATATGAGTCACCCAAACAAATTTCGACTAATTTTGGAATTGGATTGGATTTGATTTCTGTTTGAACTGTTATTTAGGCAACTATTTTTTGTTTAGTGCTAGTCTTAGCAAAAAAATGTTCTTGAAATAACATTTCTATAGGGTAGCAAGTGAAACAATGCACCATCGCTGGAAGCTCCATGTTATCTCAGTTGCATATATTTTTTTGGATTTCAACACAACAGATAGGCATTAAGAAAAACCTCGCATCTCGAAAAAGTTTTTCAATTACTTATTTGTTATTATAATTATTCGTACTTATATTATAATTATTCAATCAAACAAGTTTCTGTAATGAATTGTGTATGTGTATAATTAACGCCTTAATTATACGCATACACACTTTATCACATAAACATGTTTGATTGAATTTCATCCAGTGTGTACACACTAACTTCTTCTTCTTGTTATAATCATTCGTCGATCTAAAAAAATCAACGTTTTGTTATTGCAAGGATATTTTTTTTTCTTTTGAGCTGATTAACAAAATTTAAGGCTCATGTTGAAGCTAAAACGTCACAGTAGGTAGTCCAAAGTCTACTAGAATTACAGATCTAGCGGGCATTTCAGGTTTGGGTCATTTTTTATGCAACCCCGTATATTGATTTTTGTCCTAAATTGTCCATGAAGGATTACCTTCAACATGAGAGCTAGACCGTAAAAATCGGACCAAAAGCAGAAAACTATCGCTGCAAGACCAGAAAGTTGATTTTTTGAAACCACCCTGTCCCTGAATTTTGCTCAATCAGGAGCATGTCGAACTTTACGCTTTTTCATTTGCTACCCTGCAGAAAATTTATTTGCGGTGCTTAATTTTTACCACAACATAGACTCACAGAACGCAAATCGTGCTGAATAACACTGCAAGCAGAGCCAAATCGCTTGAAGCAATCAGAATTTATCCAGTTCCAAAGTCAGGGCGAATTTGGCTGTGTAACGTGCATTTTGTTGAGCAGTTTAGATCAAATTACATATGTAGCAAGTTGAATTGGTCATTTATTGACGAAAAATAGGGTATTTTACTTACTGATCAGCCCATCTTTCTGTAACAGCTTATCCCATTCTTCGTCGTTTGCAACTTCAATTTGCAATTGAACTGCCTGGCCTTTCTTTGCCATCTTTCTGCCACTAAATATTCACTTTTGCGATATCTATCAAATAATTTCAGCGTTGCTAAGACAACAAATCACCGGTTTACTATGGGTGTAATCAGAAAACTGCAGAAAAACCCGGAAGCAGCTAAGAGGATTTAAATAGAAGCTATGATTTTACCATTTATATGGTATTTAAGGCCATAGTTAGAGCAAAAGAGTAGAGGTAAGTTCTACAATTCTACGAACACATACACACAATATGCGATATTGTTTGAGAATTTTAAAGCGTCTTCCAGTAAGTCTTTCACTTTCTCTGTAATAATTGCAGGCCGTAACTGAATTAACATCATTATTTCTTTTTCAAAAAAATGTTATTGAAACCTTGCAAAATAAGGTGTTGTTGAGATGTAATTTTAATTTATAACCTATAAAATAGGTTGCTCTCCAGTATTTCTATGCCGATGTTAACCGAATCATTTAAAAGTGTATCTTGGAGATATTTCAATTCAAAAGTGCTTAATCGTGTTTAGAACTCGTACATACACCAATGTGTCACGGAATAAACAGAATTAAAATAAGACTCAAATTGTGCCAAGCGTAAAGAGTGCACAAATAACGGCAGGCACAAACTAGCAGTTAGTGGCAAACTTGTTAGTTTGATCAATTGTGGAAGACCGTTCATTTTTAGTTGCGAATTCAGGTGCAATCTAGTTTTAAAATTTCTGAATGCTTGGATGTCGTGGCCTGTCCTGACCTGTTATAGTGTTTCTTAAGTTCTGTTAATCTGTAATAGTGTTTCTCAAGCTTTTGAAATGTTTGTTTTCCTCAGTTCTCTTTCTTCGATTTTTGGTAGTTCTATTGAGCCCTCATGACTAATTTATGTAATTAACTTTTTCATTTTCTTAAATATTTCCTTTGGTGCAATGAATTGCAACTCTCAGAGCAATTATGCTGCTTTAAGAGTTCTGTTCCTCCATACAACGTTTGACCAAAACAGACAACTAAAATGTATACAAAAATGAATTTAAAATGTTTTGTCTATTCTCACATTTCACAGCAGGCAATAATTTTCCGCGAATAAAGTCTGCTGATTCATGAAGGTAGCAAATGTAGAAGTAAAATAATATTGGAATTTTATATTATAACCATCTTATAAAAATAGAATTACATACAAATAAATATCATTTCATATAGATTTGAACTTATAATTGTTTTATCACAATTCCATGAAAGGAAGTGAATTTTGTGTAGGTAGAAACATAATTGTCTACTTGGATAGTTTTTCAGATCTGGTCGTCCCCAGTCTATAATATGAGGTTTTTCTCAATGTCGTCATTACCCACTAGCTTTTCAAAAAGCTGAAACGGCAATATTTTGCTTCTAACCTTTTCTAAATTTCCTTGGAGCAAGTGAATGAGGTTGTCCAGGAAATTTGTTTCTCGTAATTCATATTCCAGGGATGTCGCTGCGACCATTAGGGAATTTAGTTTTTGGTCACAATCCTAAAACAAACAACAATATGAAAATTATATTACTGCAACATTGCTTACGATGCCTATTCTACTTTAACCATAAAGTTTCTTTAGTCTAATTGCAAAAATGTCTTACTGCGATTTAAAAGTACTCCCATGCAGAAAATTAGGTAAAGTTAAAACATAAAATACAATGCAGACAAAACTTATGATTATTAATAACATGGAACATGGGAACTTATGTCAAGGTCGAAGCCGCCAAAGAAGTAGAATAAAATTAATTTTCTAAACAACTGAAAACATTTCCAATGAATGTGAAAAAGATGAAAATTTGTTCAAATCAGCATTTAAAACACAAAGGTAAAAATGCCGGATTTTTTTAAAAAGGAGTGAAAAAATATTACTCAAAATTTAAACAGACAGAAAGCGTTTCTAAATAGCCAACAATAAAAACTTAGATTTTTTGATTTTTTAGTCCACCACCTCCAACCGAATTCGAGGATGACAACGAAGAGATCGCTTTACCGCAATATATGCTGAAATACGGGTTAGCCTGAGGAATTGCTTCACTTTATTGAAAGCTTTTAGATAAACAGTCTTGTGAAACGTCCACAAAAATCTTTTTCGCGAAGACCCAAGTTGTAAGCACAAATTCCTAACTCTTTTTATTGAATATTCTAATGCTACTTTTATCAAACCTCAAATATGATTCTAATGTCATTCATTTGCCTCCGCATTTCCAACTTCTCGTTTACGACATATTCTATACTCCTGTCTATTTCATCGCCCAACCCAATGCTGCTTAATATACTGGACCTAAAAATAATGCATAGGTATCGGAATTTATTAGTTTCTATATTGCATAAAATTCATTTTATAATGGAAGCTCTTTATCAGCTACTATTTCAAGCCTGTAATCAGCCTTACGGCGTACCGTCTTTAATAGGTTAAACTTCAAAATATAAATATTTTTTTTATAAACATTCAAATTTAAATGTAACATTACTAGAGAAATTATGGGTACCTGTTTGGTATATCCACATAACTGTTCTGAATAGTCTTCTCTCGGCTGCCGCTACCCTCTTTACTCACAATGCTACTGTGAATACTGGTACCTAAATCGCTTGTATCAATAACTCCGGATGCAGGGTCAACATCATTCACTAAATTATTCAGTTCGGACATATCTCCAATACTACTGTTTAAATCTACAAGAACAAATATCTGTGAGTATTATAGATTCTCTACAGAAGCAACCTAGCAGTTTACCAGTTATTACTAACTCCATCATTAGCGACAACATATGATCTTCCTTGGTTTCATGATAGTTTCGAATTTCAGATGCAAGTTGCTTATCACTATTCTCAGCCTCACTCTCAGTTAACAGAAAGTTCAAACGAGGACATCTAGCTTCGTTCGGGCTTTCATTTCTCGATGGAGAATTATGACTGATAAAATGGCGCGCATTAGTTGTTTTGAAATTCAGAGTTCTAAAGACTTTCTCGTTGGTTTCCTTTTCACTGAGTCGTTTATATTTGGAATAGCTTACAACGCTTAGTAATGCTTTTGATTCAGGATTCACTGGGTTTATTAAAGCCATCAGCTTTTCCTTGGATGGAATATCGGAATTTTCAGCATATCTAAGAAGTCTACAGTGTCGACACCTGAAACCTTCCACAGTTTCTGGAGGTATTGTTAAAGTCCTTGGCGTTTCTTCTTTTATATCGGTGTTAACTTTTAGAATTTTGATAGGTTTGCGACTCTGAAAATATAATTATTTATTATGACGAGTGTTCATGAAGTAACAGCACAACTCTTAACCATAAATTTCTATTGTTAGAAAATAAGTTTTTCTAAATAAACTTAGCTTAGTGCTAATTTTCATTTAAATGAAGCATTGCTTTGGCACAATATGTGTCATATATCTGGAAATTTCTACCGTTCTCGAGAAATAATTAATAAACATGTTTATCTTATGTTATGGGTTATAACAGATGTAGTGCCGTCAGTGAAATGATGCTTAGGTCTTGTTGATATATGAACCATCGTTTACGGGGAAGTCAAAAACCTTCTAGGCAATTGTCTGATCAAATTTTTTTATCTGAAAACGTCTCAGACTACACCTAGAGAGAAATGACTCCATTTTGGAATCACTAAGTATTCTTAAAACATTGTCAAATTAAAAAAGGTATTTACCTCGCAATTTAATCCGTCATACGAATCTCTTAAGTCACTTCCATAACCATTGTCCGAGTCGTTAGTTTTGGAACTGGAAATGCTCGACAGGCCGTTTATGCTCAAGTCTTTGTTTGATGTTCGAGCTGCAAGTCGTTCTGCTCTGGAAATATCTCGTAAATTTGTATTGTTTGCTTCTAATTCGGGACATGCTTCATCGATAATTATATTTTCAAAAGTCCAGCCAAATTTGTTGTCCAGCGGATAATCCTCATATGTACCATCTAAATTGTAGTAACGCATTGTCGACAGAAAATTAACATTAATTTTTCGTCGCTTCTGAAAGAAATACGAAATATTAAGTTTTCGTCTATTGAAATGTATTCGAGTTGTGATTTAATCTGAAATTGTTTAAAACCGATCATCAGTCCAGCTTTTTTCTGTCTAAAGCTTTAGATATCTTTACCTATGCACTTAGGAAAAGTCTTCATAGCACTATTAAATAATTTGTCTCAGTGTCCGATGAAAATTCAACAATTTATCAATACTATGTTGTCAACATATTGTGCTTCAGGTAAATTGTTTTCAATGTTTGCTTACAAATCAAGCAATGTATGATTCAGATCACAAATCCTACATCATTACTTATGGATGCAGGCAGCAGAATAGCTAAGCGCTTTAGAAGTTACAACAACCGAATTTATTATAAAACCCAATTAAAACACATGTAACAATTGTTGATTGCATCAATTATTTGATATTTTGCTTATTAACATAAAAAAACATTTGAATTTAGAAATGTATTTTAACTCCAGAATATCTTTATATCTCAGTGTATCTACATTTTATGGAAACGCACTTTTATTTAGCTTATAAAAATATTTCCTGCACATTTAAGTAAAGACTGATTTGCTTCATATCGATTTCTATCGGAAATATATATCTTTCTGATTGAACGTAAAGTATGCCAGTCAAACAATGCAATATTTAAAAAAACGATTCGTGTAGTCATGATGGCATCAAACTAAGCAATTTAACTTGGATATGTTAATGTTCGAAAATAATCAAATACATTTTATAAACAGAATTTGGTTAGTACTTACAAAATTAGCTGAATTAGCCCTTAGGCGGATGATAATTTGCAGATCCCACTTGCATGAAAACCGCACAAAAAATATGTACAAAGAACTGGCGTGAACCAAAAAGCGTCCAAGAAACATGACAAGATCTTGTTCTGTTTAATTCAATTATTTATCAATAATGTCATCGACTTTTAAAACAATAGCAAGTTTTAAGTCAATTATCTTCACCTCGCGCTTGCCATATCGCAGCTGTTTATTGCTGACGAAAAAACGATAAGTGAGTTATTGAAGAAAAAAATCGATGCAAGAAATAATTTTTATTCAAAGTGTAATTTTTAATATTTTTGTTTATTTCTATTGGGGCAAAAGTAGATGCGTAAATAAACGTACCAAATAAAAAATAACGTATTATACAGAGTGCCCAGAAGCGATGCCCAAAAAATTATGGGGATGATTTTACTTTCAAGATTATCTACTCTAAAAAGAGCCATTGATAGCTTATCTGTGTAATTATTTTCATTTATTYGGGGMSTTCCAGCATTAAAAATTATTCAATTAAGCTTCTTTTAACATTAGTATTTTGTCTTTTTGTACGACAATCGCTCATCCTTTGTTGGTCCTTTTGCTAAGGGCCACTATTGCTATTTTCTAAACCGAAAGTGTTGCAAGTTCGGTTAAATCGAACAAAAGCTGCCAAATTTCATTCGGTCCATTTTAGAAATATTAAAAATTTATAGATATAGTTTGTAACCTTAACTAATCAAAATATCTCTCTTGGTATCGACCCTATTTAAAAAATTTTAAATTCGCGCATAAGTACATTATTTTCTGGTTTTTTAACTGCATATTTTATCCCGATTACCATGATGCTTAGATAGCTTTCCAAAAAATAGCAAGGTTTATTTCTAGAAAAATACAAGCTTGACTTCAGATATCAGTTTCAAATTGCGTGGTTCGGGTTTCTATACTTTTAGGTATGCTTTATGCAAAAACCATCAATTTTACGTCTTTCTACATTAGACTTTTAAGTTTACAAATCCGGAAGCGATGTTTCAATGTGAAAACATGAAGGAATATACTTTTTTACTACCAATCTGAGAAATCACCCTTATTTACTCCATGAGTAAGTCTCGTAATGAAGAGTCATATTTCTCTCCACAGATAAATAATAACAATAAACAAAAACATAGGAAAACAATGAGAAATTGTGAAGTCTTTCCGTATTTAAATATTTTCTATCTCTGTGAGTTCAGGTTAAATCTATTTTCACCTCATAATGCGAAACTTGAGAAAACTACTAAGGAATTGCAAAAAATAACTAAATCAATTTGGACAATAAATCTGTGGTAGTAGTAAAAAATGTGCCCTTGGGTTGCCCTACGGGTGAGTCTCAAGATATAAAAATGCCCAGTAAATAATAACTTACTTTTCAATCTATGTATATAATAAACTAATCTTTGGCTAAAGCTAGTTCATGGTGATTAATGAAATTAATATTATTTAGTTGTTTACAGATGGCGCCGAAATATATCAGTGACAGCAAAGGCTCTAATAGCTACTCCAAATAACCACAAATGTTGAAAAAGTCCTCCATTGAAGTGCAAACATTTGAGATCGTTTTTTATATCCCTTTTTCATAAGTTTTTTAAGGAAAAAATGATCCATGTTTATAGAAGATGTTTGATAGATGATACCTGATCTTTAATAAAACCGCACACAAAAAGTCCTTGGGCCTCATATCGGGCGGTGGTCACTTTATAGGACCAATGTTTCCAATCTAAGTATTGCTTTTCCAGATATTTAGGTATCATCTAAATGTGTGTAAAGTGTTTTGCAAAAACTCTAAATATCTAGCTCCAGTTAGATAACGATACAAAATCCCTTACTTTTGGATTAGATAAGTGCAATAATATTGATGTAAGCAGTAATATTGGTGCTAAGCAGAAATAAAAACTTTCAAAAATTTAATATTTGAATGTTCAAGAAGAATCCATAGAGGCCCACCATGTACCATAGTGTTGCGACTCCAAGATACGTAACGGCTGGAGGGAAATTAAGAAGACAGAACTTTATGGATAATCATCAAATATTCATGATTCTGTTTGGGCACTCACACAACAAACATTTAGCGAAACTGATGATGCGGATCATGTCAGGCAGAACTCAGTGTTGTGATAGATTCCATACTCTGTCGTCAGAGAGGCCCTCGCTGACGATATTGAGGGTATCAGGGTCAACAGCACCCTCGTCGTTAAACAGTCGTTAAACAGCCTCGTCAACAGAATTCTAGTAGAACGAGTACCATCCATAAAATAGCTTGGGATTCTTATCAACGAAACAAGCGACCCAAAGAAAGAGATCCTGTCAAGAATTAACAGGGGCACATTCGCAGAGATGAGGCGCCTCTTTATCAGCCGTGATGAGCCTGCAGCTCCGAGTCAGAATGCTGCGGTGTTATATTTTCTTTGTACTTCTTTATGGCTCCGAATGCTGGACTCTTAGCTCGACATTGGACGCTCGTGTGGAAGAATTTTAAATGTTTTTACCCAGACGCATTCTCCGAATATCCTGGGTTAAAAAAAAGAATGCTGAGGTAGTTGATCGGATGGGCAAGGGGAAGGAGTTGCTGCAGACCATCAAAGAGCGCAAACTGGAATACATCGGACAGATATATCATGACCGATAATTAGCCTGAGAAGTCGATACGAACTACTCAGGCTAATTATTGGTCATGGATGAAAGATCTGCGACGAAAGTCATGGATGAAAGATCTGCGCCGATAGTTCGGGAGAACCTCTACTGAAATCTTCCGAGCAGCAGTTTGCAGAATTGTTGAGAATTGAGAGAAGATGATAGGGAAAGCTTCATTTCTCTTATGACTATTTGGGAGCCGCAACAATAAGCAACATGGTTGGGCCTCTACTGATTCTGCTTGACAACTTGCGCAAGAGCGACAGCAACTGTTTCCGCCCCGAAGTAAATATGTACTTTCTCCCAAGCTATTTGGCGGTGACGTCATTATTAGTGGCAGTGGCGTCCTAAACGCCTCATTAAAATTTACTCGGGTCCGAGATTCGTTCGCCAGATTTTCTTCCATACTGCCTGGTTGCCGGCTTGAGCGTTTGGTCCCAGTGATGTGAAAAGATTTCACCGAAAATATCACACATACAAATAGGACTATATCGGTAAAATGAACGCGCCAATAACTCAAATCAATAATTTTAAAAGTCTTCCATACTTTCGCAAATTGCAACAATTCCATGAAAGACATATGTTAATAGCAATTCCTCCAATTCCTAGTTCAAAATTAAACCACAATGCTATACCATGTTTAGCTTACCAAAATTGAATATAACAAATTGTAAAAAATTACAATCAATATATTGTCACGAATAACACAATTTTTCCAAATCTGGGGACTGAAACGTAAGTATTTGTGCGGAGAAAAGTTGCAAACAGATGCAGCGATAATAGCGATATACTGAAGTTGTCCAATGCGAGGGTGGCTTCTAATAGTAGGCACCCCCTCCTAATCATATTAGTATTCTTACTCTCGCAGCAAACAAATCCGGCCTTCGAAAGGTTTCTATATCGACTCTAGAAGCGAAAAAGTTATGAAACTAACGAGGGCTTGTTTATGCGTTTCGTAGATTTTCCTATATACCGGGTGGTACATTTAATTTGACAATGTTTTATATTTCTAAAACAAGACATTCTATGAAACAGTGTCTCAAACAGATGTTAGTTAGTGCATGAGGGCAAATTATACGAGGGCAGTAGGTATCTGAGTAAGGAGGCATTAAGTCCAAAAATTAGTTAACTATAAATGTTCAAAATTATGTTCATTAAATTAAATTAACTTGTCAACTGGCAACACTAAAGGTTCATTCATAACTTCGTAAAATAGGTTTTCTGACAAACTCTGCAAATATGCATTTTAGACGTAAAAAATGTGCACGCAAATTAGTCTCTGCACTTATGTATTTATTAGATTTTTGTTCAGCGCTTACACCAACATTTTAATGTAATTGAGTTGTTGTTCTTTATATTATTGAATAAATCAAAATTTATGTTTCATTCGCATTTATCACGCAGCTTCACGGAAAACGGAATTGTTAATAGGTGAATTAACAATTAAAATTATTTTTTATTATGGAGAATATCGAAAAAGTATTCCCAACCAGCAAACTTATTTAATAAGATTTTGATTATAAGATAGTTGTGTTTCAATATGAGTCTGAAGTTGCTCTCAAAAAACATTTTTTATAATTTATAAATATTTCTTATAAAATTGTTTTATATACGTTTTGCCTACTAAATTAAGTACTGTACTAATAATAAGTACTAATAATTATTTTATAATGCACTTATATCATTTTTTTTTACAATAACTGATATACATTACAACAGTTTAATTATAATTGTCAGCTTTATTGCACAATCTTTTTGCTGTTGGAAGCGGAATCGGTTATTAAAAGGAGTAATAAAACCATTTTTATCTTACTTTATTGTGTTTAATTTAATTTTAATTCGATTATTATGAAAGAAAAATTTTTGCGTGTCACTAAAATATTGCCAATTTAATTATTAACTATAAAATTCACTTTAAAATAAATGGTATACTGCAACCCCGTGAAATTACAATGGTTCTGTACAAATCTTAAGAAAAGCTATAACATGCTAATCTTATGTATAGTGCAGAGCGTGTTGGTGTTTTTTGGGCTTTGTTCAATTCCAGATGGGTTATCGCTCTTTGCTTCTAATTTTGCTCTCCTTTCTAAAATTTAAACAATTTTTCGGCGCTACAAATACTGAAATTACATTCATATCATTTTTGGGCTTCTACTGCTTTTAGAAGTTCTTGTAATAGCACTTTTGCCTTTTTTGAGTTTCTAATTACTTTTTGGAAAAATTGTCAAATGCTTCAATAAAAATATTGTGTCTAACTGGGACCAACGTCAAATCAAAACAAGTTGGTTCGATTGCTTCTTTCATTTTAGTAATCGATTCTTAAGATGTTGATAACTATGGCTGATTATTTTTGAGACTTGTGTTTACCCGACTTTCCTAATGATTAATAATTTGTATTTCTATTATCATATGAGAAGGGCTGTTGTCAACGCGTATTCAAGTCGGTTAACTGTGATATAAATTAGGTATTTTAAGTTCTGAGTTTCGTAAATTAGCTGGCTGTTTTTTGTTGTAATATATGCGTACTATTCAAGTTATCTGTCAAGGCAAAGAGTGGATGTATGATGCTAGTGAAATGTTCTTCTTTGAAGCTGAATTGGTACGTTGGAATAGGTTTTCTCATGTTATGAGTTCAAAAAGTTTTGTAATATCTTCGGCACTACATACAGCACCAAGACGATTTTCACATTGAAGTAATCATAATAAAATAAATTAGTCGCACATTTATATGACTTTTTCCAATTTTTTCTCAGACTCACAAATAACCCACTTAAATCAAACCATAAAAATTACTTTGATAAAATTTTGAGCCTGCATAAACGTGCGGAAGTAGATTGTGATAAGTCCAATTTGACTTTGAAAAAATATAATTTAATTCGAACAGTAAACGTACAATAGGCTATCGAAAACAGTATACTTACAGACTCAGTCTCCGCTAAAAACTAACTCAGTTGAACGATTTATTTGTGTGCAAACTCAGCGTCGGTAACTCTTGCACATGGAACTAAAGATAACTTAATTTAGTAACAATCGAATGAAAATATAAGTTGTATATAATCATTGGCTAAATTATTTCCGTTAATAAGTAATTAAAAGAAAGTTATTGCTTCTATGCGCTTGAATAATACAGAACTAACTCAGAACTGTTGGCGTAAATCAAACATCATTATGAAATAATTAAGACGAATGCCATTATTTAAGTACGTACTAAGTCGTTTATAAATTTAACGAATTAAATATTGAACTTAAAGAATGCTGTTATGGCAGCCGTAAGTTTGTGTTCTTCATTTAATTAATTATTTTTATGGAATTTTTGCTATTAGTTGCTTATTATTTTGCTACTTATATAGGGTGTTCCAAATTCAGGGTATTAGCATTGAGTTCTCGAAAACCATAAGAGATGTGAAGTAGGATAACTGACGGCAACGTTGCGTATTTTACGTACAACAACAAGTACAATCTTGATTTAAACGAATTTAGTTTTGAGAAAATTGTTCCTTTGCTGTCGGGCGCAAAAATGCGGATTCAAAACCGTGGTAATTGGGAAACGGGGACCACTAGGAGCCCGTATTTATATAGTGTTTTGCAACGCATGTCGTTTTAAAAAATTGAGCTCTGTATTGCACAAAACGAGTTTTTTCGAATTTGATGACAGCTAAAAATTAGCGCATTTTAGCGAACGATGATTCGTTTTTATGAAATAACGTAATAACGATGACCGCTGCAGCCATAAGAATGGAAACAAGTAACGCACTTTGTGTCGACTTTTGTAACATAAACCAACGGGTTCGATCATCGCCAAATACAAAAATCCGGGTATTGCCGAAATGTGTTATTCGAGAATTTAACATTCAAACTTAAAACAAACATTATTTGAGAACTCAAGAGGCACTTCACGTTGGAAGCTAATACGCGGTCAAATAACCAAAGAAACTTCGTTCAATATTTTTTCTAAATGATCTTCTAAAAAATGAGGCAACATTCTCGTTTCGTTTGCACGCCAAAAAAAAACGTTCGAAACTTTTGACTATTATATATATTAATGTTAGTGAGGCAGATTACCTTGAAAAACAGTGTTGCATAATTTATTATCTAGTTTTTTACAAATATCTCAGTTTTTAATAAAAAATATTTTTTTACTAGTTTTTCTGTACTACCTAAACGTCAATATTTAATCACCCTTATTGAATTCTCACTTCAAATTCAAATGGTAGAGAAATTGCATTCAATCAGATAAAACTCACTCTGTCCTAGATATCAACGGTTCCATAATTTCGTGGACATTTTTCAGATAACACTAATAAAGCTAATTTAGTAAAACCCCGAAATCAGTAGACTAACCGAACTTTAAAATTTTATTAACTTGAAAAAAGTGTAAATTAGAAACGATCTAAACAATACACTAACAAAGACCAACATGTCGGACCAAGGCCCACATGTAATATTACAGACTTTGCTAATTGAAGAGCGAAATTATTAGATACCATCAATAACTGCAGTAAATACAAACGCTTGGGTTACTAATTATAATCTGAATTGAATGTATGAGTGAATACGATTAGAAAAAATCACCTGAATATCTATCATCAGATTAATGGTGAAACTTGGTATAAAATCGAAGTGGATAAGCAAAAATGGCTTAATCAACATTGAATGAAGATCGGAAATCTAAAAATCAAACACATGTTGAATGTGCACAAATATTAAATTTGGAAACTTACCTTATAATAGTTCCGCGATAGGAAAAGTGTATAGCTACAGCTTTGCAATACGTCATACTATTTTCAGTTTTCCGAATAATTATGTAGAATATTGCACAATTTTGCGATATCACCAGCACGTAATGTGCGGGTAGAAAAAGTTTTCCAACTAAAAGATTGAATACTAACGCATGAACTAATCGACGATTCTCGGTGCGTCTTGATTAATACTGACAAGTGTAAAGCCGCTGATAGATAAAAATAATACATTAATTTGATCTGATAAGATAAATAAGCAAGTTTTGTAGACAATTTAGAAATCGAATTATTACTGATGATTGGTCTCGAAATCCAAATCGTACAAAAGGTGTTTTTCGCTTGAAAACTCCTTTGGAATTCGAGACCTCAATCAGTTAGTTATCCCTTTTTCCTTATCGTAAGGGTGTTTTTGATTTTTTTTCAAAGTTCAATTTTTTTACGCAGTTTTGTGGACATTCTGATCGATATCTGCGTTATCGGTGACTTTATATAATTTTTCGATGATTTAGCCCGATAAATAATGGTATTGTTCGCCATTTTGATGTTTAGATCATACATCAATTTATACTGCTCGTCCTCGCTTCTTGATATTTATCATTTTATCTGGTGCATTTTATAGCAATTTCTTTTATTTAAGTTTCATATTAATGCTCTACGAAGGTCTTTAATGTTATATTGTTATATTTGGTACAAGTGAAAAAAAAAAAGAAAATATAAATATTATTAATCCCGATTCATTCATGCTATTAATGATATTTTTTCTACATGCCAAATTCCTTCCAGCTTAATTTAAATGGATTACTGCACTGGGTCTTATTTACACATAAAATCGCATACACAAATGTTTCAAAATTAACGCTCATTTAAAATACCTAAATTTATAAAACGCAAATGTTCCATTATTACAAACTCTAAGTAGTTTGATCAATTCTAAATGTTCTTAAATACAGTGTCCCCTGGGCGTTATTAAGATGAAAATTTAATTGTTTATGACTGTTCGGCAGGTTAAAATTGCTACATTTTACAGTGAAAAATTTCACAGATTTTTGTATTCTGTTTTTAAAGCATCAATTAATTACAAATAATATTGCTTCACAAAACTGAGTTTTCAGCACAGTATTTATTTTATGTCGGTAAGCACAAATCTCACTACCTACGAAACTGTTAATATGGGTTTTATCATCGGAGAATGCCAAAAAACAAATCATTATTAGCATTCAATATTTTAGCCCAGAAAGAAAACCGAGACTCGAAGCATTAAAAAGTTTATTTGATAGATTTTCTATTAAAACAGTCACAAAGAACAACAATAAACTCACACTATTATCAGTAGGTAGACGAAGAAAACCCCAGAGCAGCACATTAAATTCTATTGCGCTACTTCCTTATTAATTATTTAAACTTAATAGATGATTAAGTATTCTGACAACAATTAACTACAAGTTAATGAAACAGTGACAAATAAGGACAATCAAAATTACAGCCTAAAAATAAAGTTAACTAATATTTTTAATAGGAGCTGTTTTCACAGTCCCCCTCAATATGCACACACATTTTAGCTTTATTCGTAAAATACTTTTTTACCGTTTCTAAAGATTGTATTGAAAAATTTCGAAAATTTTGCCTTAATCTTGTTGTCATGTCTTGAGCTAATGTTGGAACTTGTAAAATTGTGCATTAATATGACCCCAACAGGAAAGTTAATTGATCTCAAGTCAGGTGATCTAGGTGACCCTTCAAGTGCACCACTGCGTCTAAATAATTGCCTACATTCGTATAAGAGTGCCTTAGTATTAAACTATTTTGCAGCCGATTTGTTGTCACGCTGTTCCTGGATCCCTCGATAAATGATTTCTTTTGTACACTGCTGTTCCAAATGCGACGCTGTTTTCACCTTTAAGTGTCTATATCTGGAAAACTATGTTTTAACCATAGCGTGGCATATCGAAAGTATCTAGGTTTGTGCTTAAAAATGTAAAAAAATACTCGCACCCTTATTGATTTGCTCGCATGTTCTGATATTTCTTTAAATCAAATAAAATCAAAACATGCTTTTGATCGCTCTAACTTTTACCATATGGCGATTGTTGTGTCAGCCCCAATTTTTTAAAACTTCTTATCCATTTAGAGCCTCTCTAAGAAAGTTAAACTTTCAATTTTGTAACAATGTAATGTGTGACCGTCTATTGGTCCCCCTGTGTATTTCATATCTATTTTTAAAAAAAACTGACAGGTTTCGAAAGTAGGCTACATTAATCTGGTCAAAGAAAACTAACAAATATTTCGTTCGCAATTAAACAAAATATCTGCACTATCGGATTCTCAAGCTGCTTGCGATCTATATTTTAATACATTCCCTCAAAGAGGTCATCCGGATCACAGAAGCTTTAATAAGTCAAAATCGAAATATTACTATCTCAATCGAGACAATGATATTGAGAAGCTAAATGTAATTGGAAAAGTCTTAAGATTATCCGAAAACTTCATATCGAATGGTGAATATAACACGCTTTCCAAAAATCTGAATAAGATTATTAAAAAGTAAAAATTTTAAACCATAGATAACAAAAAGTGTTCATCAACTCCGTGAAAGGGGAGCTTCTAGAAGATTACGATTTTGCAAGTAGTATGTAATGCGATGCAGACAGAACGAGCATTTTTCAATAAATGGTATTTGTACTGATGAAGTCAATACCTCTGTAATATAATTTGTATGAATATTTACTACTGCTAATAGCTTATATTGTCACCTTGATGAAAAGCGTGCTTCTCTGAGGAAGAATGTGAGGGTTACAACCGATTTTTTAACCGAGGAGACAAAACTGGATTGGCACGAGGGTCCTCATATCTTGGCTTGCTAGGTCAATGGATCTAATGCGCAAAGACTTATTCATGCGGGGCAAATTAAAGAACCTTTATTTAAAGCAACAATAATTCAGACAGTAAAAGTTTACTAGAAGATACTGTGCAAGCTTTTGCAGTAATCCCCCAGTCGAACTAATTAATAGCTCTAACTCTGTGAGTAGAAGATGCTTATTATCTATTCAACAGAAAGGCGTTCAATTTGAACATTTACATAGCGTCATATAATTTTAAGCGGTAGTAGACCACAATTATCACACCCCTATAATCGTGCACACTTAAGTCACAATGGGTGCTAGACTATGTAGGAAAACTAAGGGCCAAAACGAGTGCTAGTGACTGGCGAGAACCAGCATGAAACTTTTCATGCCCAAGAACGGATGATGGAAGGGTGGATTTCGAGGGATGAACCTCGCAAGAACAGTAAGTACTGGGAGGAGGTCGCAAAGCAGTTTGTAGAAACTCCACAAGCAATACAGAGCTAATAATAGCGCAGCTAATCAGCCTTCCTGAAGATGATGCAAGTTAGCAAATGATAAAAATCTACAAATAATGTGCATCTGCACGGCATATGCAACAGAAAGGTAAAGCGGAAGAATACCAGCTTTGGTAGGTGGCGTGCAGTGTAAGACAGCATTTTCCAAACCTAATTGGCAAAAAATATAAAATATTCTTTTTCCTCGACTTGAATTTTTTTCTCATTAATCTATTGTCGTAAATAATTCGTTATCATCATCAAGAAATTTAACAGTAACAAGACATTAAAATGTATTTCTTTGTTTTCTGTCTGGTTTTGAACTGAATATTTTACGATGCTTTTATACAGCCTTCTCTATTAGGCACAGTTTAAAGTCAGGCTAAACTGACTAGGCTTTATATTTTTATCATTTTTGCCCATTTCCCCTTATTGCCCTGATATTTTCTGACCGTATAAGAAAAACAAAACCTAATGTATTTCTATAAAAGTCAACATATAGTCTCGAACATACTTATTTTCCCAGTTGGTTTTTATTACATTTACGAACTGGATAAATAAATTGCGGTAGTTTTGTTCTAGCTATTGTCGACGATTTTATCAGGTGTTATTTAAATATGCATCTTGCAACGCCTTCCAATAGAAATATTTATCCTTATGATAGTACTGATTAGCATTTACGTACCTAATTCGTGATTAAAAACATTTCCTAGAACCAGTTATTGAAAGGTTATGTGCATGGGATTGTAATTGAGTTTTAAATATAATTTTATCTTTGATAAGCTGTAGGTACAATGTTGATTGTCGATTTGCCTTCGAAACTACCTTTGTAAGCAGCTTTAGCCTCGTGAGGAAGGACCCAAGAATTTGGTAAAATTTAGGAGCTACGGATAAACGAAGATAAACTGCCTTTCAAACTATAAAAAAAAAATAATATTATGTTCCATTAATTGTTGCAGAAATCTGACATAGCCAATCTAACCTACCTTATTTAATAATTTTAAATATATATTAACATTAACAAAGCAATATGATCAAATATGTAATCAAGGTGAGTGCTTAAGAGTTTACTTCATTTTACTTAATTGTAAAGATTTCCAAAAATTCAACTTCCAAAAACTTTTAAGCAAGAAATGTATGTCAAGGAAGAATTGTAATTTTATATATGAAATAAAATTATATTTGTGGAATTATATTGAAATGCATCGTTTTCGGCTAAAATAAAAATTCATATTTATTTTCTTTCTTTCAATTTTTTTTTTTTACTTTTAACAAACACTTTTTATTGCAAAAAACTATAAACCACATCAGTTTGTCACAAAATAATCAGATAGCCACAAAATAATCTCAATCGTATAAAATTATTTTCCTTTTATACTTTAAAATGGTTTTGTAACGAGCTGCCAATAACGTTAATTTTAAATAATTCAAAATCCAATGGATTTAACGAGACAAGCTTTGTCGTCAATCGTGGAAGGGCTAAAAAGGAAATACGACTTAAAACGTCAAGAAGGGCTGAAACATTATTCAGCAGTTATTGTGCACAACATTACGAGTCTTTTTATTGTGATTTTCAGAGCACAAAGTCGTCAGCAAACAAACGATGATTGCCAATTTCCTGGAAAATGGAAATCGTCTTTTCGCTTTTCCGGGCTGTTTTCTCAGGTTTACTGCTGTTTAAGCTTTATGAGAACGAATTTTCCTAAGTAGATATATTTTTGCTCAAATCGGTGTTTTTTGTAACTCATAACTCATTGTTGTGTGCACTTATAAGAATTGCACAACCTAGCGATTAATTTTCAGAATTTATACTGAATATTGAAAAATCATAAATTTTTTCATATTTAAAAAATCGACGCGGGGTCTCGAACAAACCTACCTATTACACCGTTTAGTTAGTTTAATTTATCCTAATCGTTACAATAGTTTACTATGTTCTAACCATCGTCGACCTATTTTATCTAATGCATTTGCACTATATACCTGATAAATTTGCAGGAGAAAAAGCTAAATTGAAATATTATCCTTATCTTCAAATAGTATTTTTAGTTTATTTATAATGCTATGTTTCCGCATGGAAACTAACTATTTACCTTGACAATGTAATTCTAATTGGGGAAATTGTACACTTAATTCTTACTTAAGGGTGCTGAGAATGTAAAGAAAGTGTGAGCGGCCTTCTGCAAGAGGAAACTTTTGTGTGCATTAATCCTTTATTGTTACTGCTTTAGAGTTTAAAAGTAAAAAAAAACATTTTCGCAAATGCGATACACCAAAGAACCGTTTTCTATAAACAAATGACGTTGACTCGAAAAATTGAATGAATTATAATTACCTACTATTAGGGAACGATTACGACCGTTTCATATTTGTGCATTCCAGGGCAAACATCAAGGCAACCATGAAATTTTGGTCTTAGTTGATTGCGTGCTTTGTGGCTGATAGAACTTTTGTAAGAATCCGAGTGTCCACTAATAATTGAAGGAGGACCACATCTATATCGTCCTATCACGGGCTATAAATCCAAGGAAAACGACTGTAGGTCGATTCTCAAGAAAAGGAAAGTTGACGCACTTCAATGATCCAAAACAATTCAGGTTTTCTGGCAATAACACTTATGCACACATTAAGAAGAAGTTCAACTTCCGGCAATAACATTAGATTGCAAACTCCCTTGAAACAGGCACATTCAGGAGGCTGTCAATAAACTACGAAATCCTTAAAGGTGTGTAGGACCCTAGATCAGGAACAACTTGGGGTTTTAACAAGGTATTTTCAGATGGATGCAAATGGCCAACCGGGTGTTGGTGAGAGAATGCTATTGGAGAGCGTTTCGCATCTGACATGGACGAAAAATGTAAAGCAGCAGGAAATGTAGCTTTGCGAGAACAACTTTCACGCAAAAATCCACGGAAAATGAGGTCATCTTGCTTTGGGTTCCCGCACACAGGAATTGAGGGTAGTGGAGAGCCAATAATTTGACTAAAAAGAGTACCAAAACTTCTATTACATAACAAATTATTGAATATATGAAACTCTTGAAGTTTAAATATCGAATTGGGCCAAAAACCGTCGAACTCATGTTATTGGTAGAGAATGTGGAAGCTCTTAGATATAGACGCACTAAATCATAATCGGAAAACCGTAGTTAGTTGTAAACTTCCAATGGACAACCAAGCAGTTAATCATTTATGGAAATTTTGCTAAAAAATCGTGATTGATAAAGAAAAAAGATAGCAAGTAAATCAGAACGTCCAAATAAAATTCATATGAAAAAAACCCAAACTCCGCTCCGCATATGTCAGACATGTAACAGTAACTTATTCTTAACTACTCCAGAGAAACATCAGCCGAAGCATTTAAAGCTAAGCTAATACTTAGAACAATAGAAATAAAAGTGCGTAATAATGCAATACGCGGAGTAACATTGAGAGATAGATAGGAAGTCACGACCGCAGAGAAACTTGAAGTACAGAATATTTATATGGGCTTGATTAAGAAGGTGTAATGCTGCAAATTCCATCTTGAAATAATGGATTCCTACTAAATAGCCAAATGGGGACGAACGGAAAAACTCAACACATTCCAACTACCCGGTAGGTTACCGCAATGATGGTCAGAGAGTCGTGGTCACAATCGGGCGTCTGGGTCACAAGAGGTTTCAATTTCCGTTTTGTCAAGGACACACTCTAATGAAAAATATGGAAAAGTTTATTAAAATTTTTATTTGAATATTATTAAGGATGTGGACACAAAATGGCGAGAAATTAGACATAGGTACAGTGAGTCTAAATGCTTATAGTTAGGTCTGGCTATGTAGGAGGGCATTTAATAAGACCCTTTCTTCCTATTCGCGAATTGGTAAGGTTTCATCCAAAAATTTACGTGTAGGAGGAGCATCATCTGGCTGCAAAATCAGTTTTGCCTCAAAAGAGTCTGCATCTAATGGATGTTGGAATAAACACACCAATCATTAATGAATGACTCAATTCAAACTGTTAAAAGAAAAATGGTAAATGGTTCTATCATTCTTCCGCAGACATTTATTTTTTGGGGATAATGGCTGTGAACCGACAATTTTGTCGGTTAACATAATCGTCCAAAGAGCCAGAATAGTTTTAACGGAGAAATAATTTCTATATTACGGTATAAGAGACGAAAGTCGAAGTTCCGCCACTGCTTCGACTTTCGTCTCGAGTACCGTATACTATTTTTCTTTATCCTCAAAAAATTTGAAAATCTTGCCGAACAGTCAACTGACAGTCAGTGACTGTTAAACTGTCAGCGTGCGTGGCCAAAGTTATAACTTTCCATACGGGATGAAGAAAATTTGTAATGGGTAAAAGTGATACTCTTGCCATCGAAAAGTGTGGCGAAAAAAACTTTTGTCACTGGAATAACTTTATAGGAATGGTATTTGCGTTTTCGAACTATTCGGTGAACAACAGATTTTCGCATGTGTAAATGGGCCCCCATCTACGAAAGAATGGTAAGTACATGGATTGTCTTCCAAAGAAAGTAAAACCGTCAATTTATTCATGTTCATCTCTAGCACCACGTACCTACTTACCAGCTATATAGGATATTACAGGACGATCATGGATTTCATGAAATAATTGAGATGCTTCTCTTGGGGTCTGTGTTCTATCATCAAACCCAACATTGCACAGAATTATATTTTTTTTTGTTTCGTTAACTTTACCATTTTGGAAACCGCCAAAGTAAAATTTTTAAAGTCAGAAATAAACTGACGTACGCATACGAATGTATCTATTGTTTACCCATCGCCCTGGATACGATTCATTTCTAAGGCATGTTGTTATTTTGATAAATATTTATCGAAATAACAGATAGAACAGAACAGATGGACCGATCAACACATTAATGTTAGGATTTTGAAAATTACAAACACTATGTATATCACAAAATATGTTGAGAAATGAGCCTACAGAAGTTTGAGCCCAATCTTAGGTTGCGCACAACATGATTAACCCTGTATTAGGCTACTAAAGAATCCGAAAAGAAAATTCCCGTTTGGACCATTTCCAGTTTCTATCAATTCAAAATTAATTTCAACGTCAACATTACTTGGTATTATTAACTACAAAAATCACGAATACCTTCCTGACATTACTTTATTTTTAAGTCTATAACATAAGACAATACTTACACACGTTTCAATACGTTACTCTTTCTTTAAAGAATTGAAAAAGCTGATACTAAACTAAACTAGAACTAAACAAAATAAGTCACAATGACATTTAATCAAAATAGGTGTCAAATTTTCCTAGTCAAAGTGTAGTTATAATTTAGCCGCCAGTGGGCGTTTGGAGTGTTGAACTCGCTAATTTTGTAAATTACAACATTAATTAACAAAATTCACTCATTGCTCATTCAATCATCGCCCGACGCTGCCGCGTCTTTAGCCTCATGGGTCACTCTCACGTGTCCCTTAAAACTGACAACGGTGCAACGGCGCGACGCCAAAGACGCCGGCTGGGGAATCGATAGACTGCCGTCGCGATGGCTGCGCGAGTTTCCGACGTAAATTTGAAACTACAATTCGCTTGTAGTAGATACTCATATTCTCGTCCATTTTACGGGCCTGTCCGATCTGTAGAGGGCAGATAATTTAATTTTCCGGGTGGAAAATCGGACATTTTGTCTAAACTATGGTTTAGTGCGTATTTCGGATATTAAAGTGTGGAGCAAGAATTCGCGAGTGCAAAAATGAACGAGAAACGATGGTTATGATCTGAGTGGAATGAGACTGAGATACGGGGGCCCAGGTGGCCCCCCGAGACTAGTGACTATTGTGACATTTTTCTTGTGTTTCTTCTCCATTTCTAGCTTGATTGGTTTGGCTGCTGCCGACAAGAGTAAATCATGTGAGTAGCTTCAACATTCAGATCGCGAATGTAGAATTTTAATTTAAAGAATATATCTATACGTGCAGCGGGCGCAAATATGAATAGCATATAACATTTGACATTGACAATTTGATTATTCAGATTTATTCCTATAATGATATACCTATGACATATTTATATACAAACACTTAATATGGAATACAAATACTTAGGTATAAACCTACTCAGTGTATGACTTCAAATTATATTTTTACCGACCTGAAATTAATGAACAATGCGACATCCCCTTAGGATGCATGTAGCTATATGTCTTATCCATCAAAGTAACTTTATTCTTGTAGACCGTGGGCCGATATCATACAGTAAAATGTGTATTTACTATGTAGATAAATTAGCTTGGCATGTAAAAAAACTCGATGAATAATAAACCAAAATTGATTTTTTATCGAAGATATGATTTGTTCCATGTGGTCTATACATATAAAATGAATTCGAATTTGAGTATATGTGCCTATCTTAATACGAGTACAAAGCCATGTTCTACTTGGAAAAATAAGAATTTTAATTCGGATTGGAAACAATATCTTTTCTTTTTAAATGAAAACTGGTAACAAGTGGGTTTATGCTCAATTTCAATATGTTCTTATTCCGTATGTAATTTGCAGAGGGCGCCATTTGACGTTTATGGCTTTCCAAACACCGTACTATATAGCTCTTTTATGGCCTCCATATATCATCAAAAAACCTGCCTGTTTCAATGGCAGATAGAGTGCACTAAAATTATCAATGTTGCCTCAAGAAACATGTTTGAAGCTGGTTGAAGTTTAAATTTGTTATTGGATGGACTCAAAAACTCTGTCATTGCATTTTAATATATTCCAATAAATCGCAGTTCTTGTGCGGAGTGATGGATTAAAAATAACGAAAATCAGACAATTGAAATATTTTTTGATGTTTTGCAAAGCTACTATTATCTCGGCCCGATCACATAATTCTGAGGTCACATTTGTACATGTGAGATTTTCATATAAAAGCCGCCAATAAGACGTGGTTCTTCGTCCTAGTCTTGAGTTAAGTGGCTAAGGTGCAGCAAACCAGCAAAAAACCAAAACAGTATTATAATATAATTATAATAATACAATTTTTCACGGTCGTTTTGAAACATCCGGCACCTTTTCGTTTACTTCGATTGCATCGGCATTAATTCTGCGTCATAGTATGTCATATATGTATATGTATAGTAGTCATATGCACCCTATTTTCGCGACTGGTATAGTTAGCGTTTGGTTAATTATTATGTTGGGCGCTGTAATGGAATTTATGTAGACCCCAAGAATATTGAAACTGTTTAATGCTAATTTCGGCTATTCTTTATTTTAATGTTAATTATTTTGAAGGCATTTGGTTTTTCTGTAAAATATTTTTCACTTATATAAACAACTGTTGTGCAATTTATGTAATAAATATGTGCTTTTTA